ATTCAGACGACATCCATTCAACCGACGTCAGGTTTCAGTGAAAATACATCCTCACCCTTACCAAAATGTAGCTAATAACTGATACAATGATACTGTCATAAGGAAAATCTAGACACCCCTGTGTTCAATTTGAGTAGAATATTCTGTAACCATGGAAACGTGATTTTAGCTGTATTTAAAAACCCAAAATTTAAAAGTTACTCCAAAATTCGCTTGAAGATGAAATAGAACTAATGCTTTTAATTTATTTGCAAAAATAAAATTAGGGGTTTTAGCCCAAACATGGTTGGAACTGTGTAGCGAAAATAACCATATTTTAAATCAATTAATTTATAATATATATAAATGCTAAGTTTGTTATTTACGATTTCAATGGAATAAATACCATGGAATATTAAAATATATATATACATATATATATATATATATATATATATATATTATAAGAGAGAGAGAGAGAGAGAGAGAAAGAGAGAAAGAGAGAGAGAGAGAGAGATTTGTGTGTGAAATCAGAATGAATAGAAAAATCACGTTCATAACATTCAATTTAAAAGAGGTAGTAATACAAAATTACATATAAAAACGCAAATGTAATCATGTTTCGATATATATATATATATATATATATATATATATATATATAGGTGGCCTGACGATTGCATATAGCATGAAACAGACTGTCGCCTCTAAGTGTTGACTTCTATGTTCACTTTTATATTTACACACTCTATCTCTGATATTGAGCACTTTATCCCATAAATATAGCACACCTTAAGACTATATTTCTTCATATATATATATATATATATATATATATATATATATTATTCTACTTTTATATTTACATAAGCTCGATCCCAGTTATTGAGCTCTTTCATACATAAATATAGCGTACCTTAAAAACTATATATTCTATCGTAATATATAAATTCAATTTAATTAGAAAACAGATAACTACACGAGTAACCTTGTTTATGAAACGAAATTTGCATACATATGTTTATATTCACGTTATTCCTTATTTTGGTATACGGAACCTTCCTGAATTTGTATATTATTTTTTTATTATTCTGTATATATATATATATATATATATATATATATATATATATATATATATATATATATATGTATATATATATATATATATATATATATATATATATATATATATATATATATAATAAATTAATTGATTTAAAATATTTTTTTTCGCTACACAGTTCTAACCATGTTTCAAAAATGGAAGCTTAAAGCTCCGAACTTAATTTTGTAATTAAATTAAAGACATGAGTTCCATTTCCTCCTCAAGCGAATTTTGGAGTAACTTTTAAAATTACTGGGTTTTAAAGACACACCTAAAATCATAATTCACGTTTCCAAAGTTACAGATAAATCCACTTCCACTAGACAAGGGGTGTCTGCGTGTTCATTGTCGCTGTATTTTGATGTATCAGTTATTAGTTACGTTTTGGTAGGGGTAGGGATGTATTTGTTAATGAAATCTAACTTCCGTTAAAAGCATGACGTCTGGATTTTTTTTTATAAAATTTATTGTTAACGGCAAAAATTCTTACGGCATTTTTTCTATTTGTATATTTAAAGATTTTGGGGAGTGTTTAGGTTAGAATACGTTTTATTTAACAACGATTTGAAATATTTTCACTTTTAATTTTTAATTTTTAATATACTATATTTCTTTTAAGAACAATTAAACGTATTAGAATCCCTTACAGTATGTAGAATTATTTTCACATCAAGTATAAGTATGTATATTATTAGGTAACAATTTTTTTTAAATTATATTTAAATATTATTTAAGTAAAATTTATGACAATGACGGCAAAAATAGTTACTTAATTTCACTGATTTAGTAAACTTTTATTTTTTATATAAACCTAGTAATATATTGTTTCTCATGTAAGTACAAAGGACATGGGTCATTCAAAAGCTTACATCTTCTAGCATTTCATATTAATTTTATTTTACTGTAGGTGTTTTATTGGATTCTTTTAAGTGCGTGTAGTACAAAGAGGGAGGTCTTTAGGTTAGAAAACGTTTTATTTAATTACAATTTAAAAGAAGTTTAGGTTAGAATTCATTTTATTTAACTACAATTTTAATTACAACTTTAAAATATCTTGTTAGTTTTAATAGACTATATTTCTTTTTAATAGAAGTAAATTTATTAGAATTACTTATAGTAAGTAAAATTATTTTTCCATATCAAGTATATGTATATTACGATTTTTAAAATTTTATATTTAAATATTTAAGTAAAATTTATGGCACTTACGGCAAAAAATAGCTAATTCATTTCTCTGATTTAGTAAACTTTATTTATATATATATATATATATATATATATATATATATATATATATATATATATAAACTTAGTAATCTATAATTTCACATGTATGTACAAAGGACATGGGCCATTCAATGTCCTACATATTCTAGCTTTTCGTCATAATTTCATTTTTCAGTAGGTGTTTTATTGGATTCATTTAAATGCCGGTAGTACTTTTTGAGAGGTGTTTAAGTTAGAATACATTTAACTTAACTACAATTTTAAAACATGTTTAGGTTAGAATTCGTTTTAACTACAATTTTAAATACAACTTTAAAATATTTTCACTGTTATTTTAACAGACTTTTTTTTTAAAGAAAAACCAGTAAATGTAATAGAATTAATTACAGTATATAAATTATTTTTCATGTTAAATATAAGTATGTATATTACCTGATCGCACCTTTTAAAATTTATTTTTATTTTTAAATATTATTTAAGTAAAATTTTTGACAATGACGGCATAAAATAGCTATTTCATTTCTCTGATTCAGTAATTTTTTATAAACTTAGTAATATATAGTTTCTTATGTATGCACAAAGGACATGAGTCATTTAATGACCTACATATATATATATATATATATATATATATATATATAATGAACTATATATATATATATATATATATATATATATATATATATATATATATATATATATATATATATATATATATATATATATAATGAACTACATGACATGAAATGACATGGCCGATTATATCAAAATAAAGTTGAAAGCAAAACACACATTGTTTTTTGCTAAACTGATACATTAATGACATCGTTCTTTTCTTAGAAATGGAATTTTCTCTGACTTGTGAATCTGAAGATCCTGGTTCTTAAAGAAAATTCATTTCTTTCATTCTGAAAATGGTGTAAAATTCTCCCAGGCTTAATTAATAAGAATCTTTTCATTTTTGATTGACAAAGATAATCAAAGACAAAATGCTTAGAAATAGCGTTTGTAAAATTCTGTTATTCGCATTGAAATGACTTTGAAAACAGGGATGGCCTAGGAAAATATCACTACGATTACAACTGGTATTATGTAAGCGACTACTGTCTGTCCTTGGCCGGCTGATCGGTGACTAACCTCGACCACTTAAGAGTCTTTTCAGGTGATGATTTTGCCTGGACACCCAGCAAGATTAAAAATAAGACCCATCAAAGGGTGGCTGAACATTTCTGGCTGCGTGATCCTTTTAAATGTGTCGCAAAAGTGTGATTACATTCGAAATCCCTTCAAAAAAATTATTTTTCTAGGATTGGTCTTTAGTTATGCGAATGAGAAAAATTGGCCACCATTTCTAGTGATTGAGGGCTCAAAATAAAATATTCGACGGTAACCATTGATACATTGAGACTTTATCAGTTTTATTGCAATTTTCTACTTCTTATTTATGTGAATTAGGCTTCTCAAACCTAAATAATATCAAAAATAAGAAGCAAGAAAGACTACGCTCAAATGAAGAAGAAATCAGGGTCTGCTGATCGCACATTCGACCAAACATTGAAGAGATCGCGAAAAAAAAAAATAAATAAATAAAACAAAATAAAAAAAAAAAAAAATCACCAGGCACAGGTTTCACACTAAATAAGCTTTACAAATAGATTAATAGAAATATTAAAATAATGTAAGTTCATATTTCTGTGTGTATTTAACAGTTAAATGTGTAGCCTTTAAAAATGTTGCTAAGTGTGTCGTGATATTTTCATTTGCTCCGATGTGTGTTGTTGTTTAAAAAGGTTGGCAAATATTACTGCTGGGTGTATTAAAATACATTGTAAATCCACATTGGGGTTAGATTTTTTAGAATTATTGTTTTTATTCTCTTCCTCCCTGCACAGACAAAAATTGTACATATGGAAACTATTTAGGACTTCATAGAGACACCGAGGTATTATGGTGGCCGTAGTAAGAATGGTAAGTAAGAATGTGTTGTTTTGGTGTAAGTAATATGTTTGGCTATATCATACTATTTATTTAATTTAAGTTTAAGATAAGAGAGATTGAAAATCTGCCTATCACCCATTTTAGCCTTGTGCCACATTGTTGTATTAAAACAAAATAAATATTGCTTTTATCTTTGTACCCCCCCACTGATAAATTGTACATAAGATGACTAGTTAGAACTTCATAGAGACTCTGAGGTATTATGGGGGCTGTAAGAATGGTAAGTAAGAATGTATTGTTTCGGTGTAAGGAAATCTGTGGAATGTTTGGGTCAGTAATTGTGGCTAGCTGAGTTTAAGATAAAACAGATTGAAGACCAGCCTTCCCCTATCCCCCCTCTTGGCCTTGTTCCACATTTTTGTATCTTTACAAAATAAATATTACTTTCCTACAGTTATCTAGCTTGTTCAAAATCTTCATGCCTTTCCACATATTTCTTGGCTTTGTGTCAGTTGCTCTTCTTTGCCTTCCTCTTGAAATGGAACCCTCTTCGCTAACAACCGAGATGAGATGTTTGAATTGGTTCACTCCTTTAAGTTTTTAACCGCTTAATTCATACTTGAAAGTTTCTCATTGTTCGTACGCTAACCGAAGTTAAGCAATGTCAAGCCTGGTCAGTACCTGGATGGGTGACCGCTTGGTAATACCAGGTGATGTAAGCCTGGATGTGCAGATGGCGTAATCACATCACACTGAAATACCGCTTCTCGTACGATCACCGAAGTTAAGCAATGTTGTGCCTGGTCAGTACATAGATGGGTGACCGCATGGGAATACAGGTGGTGTTACCTTGGATGTGAGGGTGGTGCAATGGATAATGCCGCTGAATTGTTAATCGGAGAGCCGAGATCCAATTCCACTCGGATTCATCATATTCACTCTCGCGTTAAAAGTTATGGGAAAAGTATAAATCTAAATTTTCGACTACCCAGCTATGGGTTAATTATTAAGACTTGTATCACTGAAACAATTATTATCTCCCTCACCACACAAAAATGCGTACAAAATATTTAAATTTCGGTATTAAATAAACCATATATATTTTTCCAGTGATGTTCATTGTGTACAAGGTCCAAGAGCCACTCGAGGTAGAGAGCTACAGTGTAAGCGATACAGGTTATGCGAATAGTTACGGAAGATAACAGTTGAGGCTTGAGCAGGTTAAGATTGTAGTGATTGGGGAAGCATCCTCTGGGGAGTCAGTTCCACAAAACAGGTACAGGCCTACAGAGTAAGAGACACAGTTTATGCGTACAGGTGGGGAAGATAAGGGTAACCGTAGACTTGAACAGATTAAGTGATAGAGGAAGCATCCTCTTGGGAGTTGGTTCCATACAAAGTGCTATAGAGTAAGAGAGACAGTTTATCTTGATAAGTGGGGAAGATAAAGGATAACCCTAAACTTGAACAGATTAAGTGATCGAGAAAGTATCCTCTTGGGATTCGGTTCCATAATGAGGGCTACAGAGTAAGAGAGACAGTTTATGTTGATAGGTGGGTAAGATAAAGGTTAACCCTAAACTTGAACAGATTAAGTGATCGAGAAAGCATCCCCTTGGGAGTCGGTTCCACAAAGAGGGCTACAGAGGAAGAGACACAGTTTATGTAGAGAGGTGGGGAAGATAAAGGTTAACCCTAGACTGGAACAGATTAAGTAATCGAGGAAGCATCATCTTTGGAGTCAGTTCCACAGAGCACTCTCCGCGGGAAGAAGCTGTTCGAATGGAATACGAAGGGGAGGGGAGGTGGTTTGCTACAATATGCGTAGCATGGCGGGTCCTAGCCGTGAAGGTTAGTCCTGCCGGAACCAAGAAATATAGTTCGTCTGGGCACTTTCTATGGAAGTAGAGACAGCGCCATGAGGCTTGTTTCTGTGAGAGAGGAATTGCCGGGTGGAAAGTAATTTGTTACCCACAAGGACGCAGAGACGCTTTTGGATTCTATCGAAACTGAAATGTACGGACTGAGCAGTCCCTACCCAAATTCTGAATATATATCTTCAAGATACCGTTGTATCATTAACACAGATATTCACAAATGATCAGAGTATATACTTAGGCAGATCATTTATATACCGGTTGTAACAGCAACATTGTCTAAATCGTGTAACAGCGTAATTCTCCATCCTATAAAATGTTTAATATCTAAAAAAGTACTAAACTTATTGTGTTTTTTTTTTCAGGTTTTTAGATAAGAGGTTTAGCCATCTTGACACCATTTATCGTAAGAATCACTGGAATGATTTTACAGTTTCGACAGTGTCCAAATGCGTGGCACTCTTAGAACGTTTGTGAAAACCATGCCAAAGCTTGATTCAAGCATTTTAAGTGGAACTGGGTAGACAGAACCGCTGGAAAGGCATCTATGATTGTGCTGGCACGAAGTTAAAAATTCTGCTCTCTTTTTTTAGCTAAATAACTCAAAGACTTTTCCAGTGATTCTTACGATAAACGGTGTCAAGATGGCTAAACCTCTTATCTAAAAACCTGGAAAAAAGAGACAAAATAAGTTTAGTACTTTTTTAGATATTAAACATTTTATAGGATGGAGAATAACACTGTTACACGATTTAGACAATTTTGCTGTTACAACCGGTAAAAGACAGCCATTTTGTTTAGGGGGCGTTCTTTTTGATAAAGCATAATTACTTTCCAAACATCCTACTATTTAAATAAATTTGGCTTGCATTTGCTTTTTTATATCCTTCCTTGCAAAATATAATTGCGTTCCGAATCTTTTTCTTCATCTGCAAAATCCTCTCAGAACGTAAGCGATCATGGCTCTCCACATCTTCCTCTCCCTTGCAGCTCTTAATAAATTTTATCGTTTCGTTATTTCTCCCAAACCCTGTTCTCCATTGTTTTCTTCTGTTCCTTTTGCGTTTAATCCGTCTTGTGAGTATTAAATTTTCCAAGCCCTTTTTCCTTATTATATGCGTTAAAATTTTCAACTGTCTCTTCCTGATGATATTTATAAGTTTCTTTTTTGTTTCCATTTTCTCTAAAACTTCGTCGTTGCTCACATATTCAGTCCATGGTATCCTCAGCATCCTTCTGTAGAACCACATTTCTGCTGCTTCAAGTCTCTTCTTCATCTTTGAGGAGATTGTCCAGCATTCATCGTCATATCGTAGGACAGATATCACGTAACAGTTCAGTACTCTTTTCTTTGTTTCTAACCAAGTTTTTCTGTTTCTTAATAATTTGCTTAGCTTTTGGAAGGCATCTTTGGTTATTTCAATGCCTCTTCGGATTTCAGAGTCGAAAATTTAAGAACTGCGACAACTGGGAGCAACTGCCAAAAAATTTATATGTTAGTTAATTTTTTTTTCATCAGATTCTAAATCCTAAAATCTCTGGGGGGTTGTCGGTGTTATGGCCTGGTTCTTTGTACCACGATGATAGTCCAAGGTAGAACCAATAAAGAAGAACTCGAAGGCGGATATGGAATAACACAGATATATTACAAACAGGAAGATATACAGAGAGGTAGAAAAGTGTAAGTACGAACAATCAGGTTTAGTAGTAATTGTCTGAACGCGACTCTGTTTCGGACTGCCTCTGACTCGACTGACTGACTCGCTCGCTCTGACTGACTGACAGACTCCTGACGGACTTATGACGGACCTCACTCCAGACTTCAGACGGAACGATATTCAGTCACCCCCTCCCCTCCACAAGGGCATCATGTGTCACAAGGCCGGTTTAACGTGGGATCTCCGATCCCGTGGGCTTGGCCAAAATATGCCCTTTGAACCCGTATAAACGGGTTCAGGGTCGGTTTACCTCCCCAAATCAGACTCCGCCCTTCAGCGTAGCCTCGTTCGGGTTCCTCTCCGCCCGAAGGCAGAGAGTTCAACCGGTCAGCCGGTGTCCCGACTTCGGACTGAACAGTATTTAGTCAAACACGAGGGCATCATGGGCACAAGGCCGGTTTAACGTGGGATCTCCGAGCCCGTGGGCTTGGCCAAAATATGCTCTTTGAACCCGTATAAACGGGTTCAGGGTCGGTTTACCTCCCCGAATCAGACTCCGCCCTTCAGCGTAGCCTCGTTCGGGTTCCTCTCCGCCCGAAGGCAGAGAGTTCAACCGATCAGCCGGTCGCCCGACTTCGGACTGAACTTCCTGCTTCCTCTTGAGGCGCAGTATTTATTACGTATGGAATAGTCCATTATGTTCTTATGGGTAAGGTCCCATAACAGTCGGGCACCCTGTAGTTTGGTTTTCAAGGCATTCAAAGTAACCAGCCTTTTTTTTCTCGCACTGAGATGTTAAAGCGGGGGAGCAATCAGCTGCCAATCTCTGGTCATCCTAGAGTTTAAGAGGTTCACCCATATACCGTTGGATCATGAACATAGATATTCGCAGATGATCTGATTATACACTTAGGCAGATCATTTATATAAAGTAAAAAGAGGGTTGAGGACGCCTGCGTTGATTGCTAGGGTCCCGGAGGACTGACCATTTACATCTACCTTCAGGGACCTACCCGTTATGAAAGACTTTATATTGAGAAGACTCTTCCAATGATTCCATAGCTAGATTGGTTGAACATGATACGACGCTTAATAAAAACCACAAACGAAACAGCCAATCTCATTCATTGTTTGTCATGTTTTACTCATATTTTTTAAAAATCAAATCACTCCAAGCAAGGCGATAACTAGGGGCTACTGGGAGTGAAAAAGAATAAAAAGATAGCAAAAGGAACCGGAAACACAATCCGAAACAGGAAGCGAGTGATAAACCTCTACTCCTGTTAAGAAAAAAACACGGGGAGGAGTCTGAACCGGGCGTAAGGCCTATCTATTTACTCCAATTGAAATGCCAATTGTTTGTACTACACTTGAAGTTATCTTTATCCTGGTGCTTTCTTCCTTCATATTAGAGCAAAGCTATTTGAAATGGCTCCCTATTTTAAGTTTCTGACCACCGACTTTTATCTTGCTTAAAATCCATTTCACAATGTTTATCATGAGCTTTTTTCTTAGGGTGGGGTGAAGGTAGGAGCAATATATTATTTCTCTTCTGTTGATAAGTGAGCCGAGATATTTGAATTAATTCCCTCCTCGAAGTTCTTGACCGCTGACTTCTACGTTGGTTGAACGCTCTTTCTAATTGTACATCACGAGTTTGCCTTATTCAGCATTAATCTCCATGCGAGGAGTTTTCAACCGGGTTTTTCTGTTCGCCATAATGGAAGCATGCTGTCTTCTAGGAGACGCCTAGAATGATAGCGTAACATGTAATTTCTCATGCTTGGATTCTACTCTTAATGTCCAAGACTTGCAGGCGTATAGAAAAACGAAGAAGGCCGATGCACACAACAGCCTGGTCTTTGATTCCTGGCAGATGTTCTTGTCTTTCCAAATGGTTATTACTTTCATGACAGTTTTTTCTTAATCAATTCAACCCAAGCAAGACGATAACGCCATTCAGAAACAAAGAGGCTACTGGAAATCAAAGAGAATGAGAAGACATTTAAAGGAACCGGAAAGCCAATCCCAAACAGGAAGCGAGGAATAAACTTTTACTCCTGCTAAGACAAAAAAAGCGGGAAGGAGTGTGAACCGGACGAAAGGCGAACCTATTTACTCCTATTGAAATGCCAATTGTTTGTGCTGCACTTGAAGTTATTTTTATTCTACTGCCTTCTTTGCTGATAAGTGAGCGAATATATTTGAATTGGCTCGTTATTTTAAGTTTCGCAATGTTTACCATGAGTTATTTTTTTGTTTGTTTGGTTTTTTTTGGGGGGGGGGAATTTGAGGAATATATTATTTCTAT